GGGCCTCCTGGGAGCTTCCTGGGGGTCTCTTGGGGGCCTCTTGGGGTTTTCTTGCGGCCTGTTGGGGGCCTCTTGGGGCTCTCTTGGGGGCTTCGTGCGTGTTTGGGCGGGAGGTTCAAAATTTCCGTTCAGGTTGCCCCTGTGGACCTCAATCATGGGGCCGTCTTGGGGCCTCTTGGACCGTCTTGAGGGTTTCTTGGGCCTTCTTGGAGCGCTCTTGGGCCGTCTTTGAGCGGTCTTGAGGGTCTCTCGGGCCGTCTTGGGGTGATCTTGGGGGCCTCTTGGACCGCCTTGAAAGGTGTGAAAGACGAAGAGGCGGATATCACGCTTTCCTAAGGGAATGAGACGATTTTTGCTTGTGGGAGCCCTCTTGGGACGCCGCTTAGGGACCTCTTGGGGCGTCTTGAAGGCCTGTTGGGCCGTCTTGAGGCCATCGTAGGCGCTTGGGGGTGATATTTCGGCGTCTCCCGGCTCTCTTGGACCGTCTGGAGGGCTTCTCGGGCCCCTCTTGGACCGATTTGGAGCCCTCCTGGGCTCCGAAAGGAGAGTTCTTGAGGGTTTCTTGGAGCCTTCTTGGAGCGCTCTTGGGCCGTCTTTGAGCGGTCTAGAGGGTCTCTCGGGCCGTCTTGGGGTGATCTTGGGGGCCTCTTGGACCGCCTTGAAAGGTGTGAAAGACGAAGAGGCGGATATGTTAAAAATGCACGTTTTCCTAGGGAATGGGACGATTTTTGCTAGTGGGAGCCCTCTTGGGACGCCGCTTAGGGACCTCTTAGGGACCTCTTGGGGCGTCTTGAAGGCCTGTTGGGCCGTCTTGAGGCCATCGTAGGCGTTTGGGAGTGATATTTCGGCGTCTCCCGGCTCTCTTGGACCGTCTGGAGGGCTTCTCGGGCCCCTCTTGGACCGATTTGGAGCCCTCCTGGGCTCCGAAGGAGAGTTCTTGAGGGTTTCTTGAGCCTTCTTGGAGCGCTCTTGGGCCGTCTTTGAGCGGTCTTGAGGGTCTCTCGGGCCGTCTTGGGGTGATCTTGGGGGCCTCTTGGACCGCCTTGAAAGGTGTGAAAGACGAAGAGGCGGTTATGTTGAAAATGCACGCTTTCCTAAGGGCGTGGAGCGATTTTTGCTTGTGGGAGCCCTCTTGGGACGCCGCTTAGGGACCTCTCGGGGCGTCTTGAAGGCCTGTTGGGCCTTCTTGAGGCCATCGCAGGCGCTTAGGGGGTGATATTTCGGCGTCTCCCCGCTCTCTTGGACCGTCTGGAGGGCTTCTCGGGCCCCTCTTGGACCGATTTGGAGCCCTCCTGGGCTCCGAAAACAGAGTTCTTGAGGGTTTCTTGAGCCTTCTTGGAGCGCTCTTGGGCCGTCTTTGAGCGGTCTAGAGGGTCTCTCGGGCCGTCTTGGGGTGATCTTGGGGGCCTCTTGGACCGCCTTGAAAGGTGTGAAAGACGAAAGGCGGATATGTTAAAAATGCACGTTTTCCCACGGGAATGGGACGATTTTTGCTAGTGGGAGCCCTCTTGGGACGCCGCTTAGGGACCTCTTAGGGACCTCTTGGGGCGTCTTGAAGGCCTGTTGGGCCGTCTTGAGGCCATCGTAGGCGTTTGGGAGTGATATTTCGGCGTCTCCCCCGCTCTTTGGACCGTCTGGAGGGCTTCTCGGGCCCCTCTTGGACCGATTTGGAGCCCTCCTGGGCTCCGAAAAAGAGTTCTTGAGGGTTTCTTGGGCCTTCTTGGAGCGCTCTTGGGCCGTCTTTGAGCGGTCTTGAGGGTCTCTCGGGCCGTCTTGGGGTGATCTTGGGGGCCTCTTGGACCGCCTTGAAAGGTGTGAAAGACGAAGAGGCGGATATGTTAAAAATGCACGTTTTCCTAAGGGAATGGGACGATTTTTGCTAGTGGGAGCCCTCTTGGGGCGCCGCTTAGGGACCTCTTGGGGCGTCTTGAAGGCCTGTTGGGCCGTCTTGAGGCCATCGCAGGCGTTTGGGAGTGATATTTCGGCGTCTCCCGGCTCTCTTGGACCGTCTGGAGGGCTTCTCGGGCCTCTCTTGGACCGTTTGGAGCCCTCCTGGGCTCCGAAAAGGGACCTTGCCGGGAGTCTGCCGGGAGTCTGCCGGGACCTTGCCGGGACCTTGCCGGGACCTTGCCGGGACCTTGCCGGGACCTTGCCGGGGTACTTTTCGTCCGAGGACCCCCAGGGCCCGCCCCGCGCGCGCAAACTGGAAATATTGTTTAGCAGTTACCGGAGATCTTAGCACGCCTCTGGCCCGTTGGGCTGGCGAATTCTTTGCTTGGGCTCCTGAGGTTCCCCCGTCTTGTTTTTTTGCTTGGATCTCTCGGGTTCGCCAGTCTTGTTCCTCGCGTCCCCGGGTTTCCCGGTGCTGTTCCCCGCTTGGGTTTATCGGTTTCCCATTCTTGGCTCTCGAATTCCCCGCAATTGCGGAGCAATGCCAAGCAGCGCGCCCATGCAATAGGACATTTTCCCTGGATTGGGGTCGCGCCTGGTTCGTGTTCCAGGGATCCAAACCGCCCTCCAGTGTTTTTGGCGGGGGCAATTCCCGCATCGCTGTTTTAATACTTACGTGCCCGTGTACATCGCAAATTCTGGACGCTTCGCGTAACCCCACCAGTCATATGTGGCTCTGGGCGCCCGTCGGCTGCTTTCTCCTTCATGGACGTCGCTTTCGACCTGTGCCACCGGGTGTGCATGCCAGAGGATCTGCCGTTTGCAGTCCTGTCTGTGACGAGGCTGCCCCCTCTTCACTCCGGCGCCGACGCGATGCTGTTGTGTTATCTACGGCACGGATGTCGCCTTGAAGTGCCTGTCGGACCTGCTCGTTTTCGTCGGGCCCTATGCCGACTCACAACGGGTGGTCGACCTCTGCGTGTTCATGGTCGCGCCGCCGCGCCATTTTGGCTGCGCCTACTTGATGGTCGCCACCGGGATTTCCACGCCACTGGGTTGGGAGTGCCGCTCCCGGTGCACTTCTGAGTGGCTGCCCGCGCGCTCCCTTCGCTTGCCCCTCTCTGCGCCTATCGTGCTTTTCCGCTTCTTGTTTTTCTGCTGCCTAGTCGTGGCCTGGCTAGACTGTGGACGCCTGTTGACCCGCTTCACGAGGCCGATGACCAAAAAGTAACCCCACCAGTCCATCCAGAAACTATGCCCAGAGGAGTTGCCTCGATCAGGGAATTCGGCAGCACGCAGAGGAAGGGCCCCCCAGTGGAGGCCTTTTGGAGCGTCTTGGGGGCCTCTTGGCGGCCCCGGAGGCCCCTTGGAGCGTCTTGGGTGCCTCGGCGAGCTTCTTGGGGCCTCTTGGGGGTCCCTTGGGGGCCTCTTGGAGGCCTCTTTGGGCGCCTCTTGAGGCCTCCTGGGGCCTCCTGGGCGCCTCTCGAGGCCCTCCTCAAGCGCTCTTGGGAGCTTTGATCGATCAAACAAGAAAGGAGCTTCAATTGGGGATGCCCCCCGAGAAGCCAAAGTTGGACCCGAACCCCAGTAAAACCAATGTTTTTGGCTTCCTCGCCAAGGCCGTTCTGGACGCCCTGGCACCTCGCGACTGGCCCCGTCCAGCTCCAGGGGAGGGATGTGGGGGGAGGGGTGAACCCTTTCCCGAAGGGGAAGAGGGGCTGATGGAAGACAAAACACCCTAGACCACCTAAGCCCTAAAAGGCTGGTTGGATTCTTTGTCCTGCGCGGTTTCCTTTAATCTGGGCGGCCCGTTGGGAAACAAATGCAATAACGTTTTTTTTTTGGGGGGGGGGGTTGTGCATCCAGATGCATCATATTGTTTGTTTTGGTTGGTTTCTTATGAGCGGGACGGCCCGTGCAAGGAACCAACAACCACGAACAGCAGCGCGGCTGCAACGATAGATCGAACCATGGGTGAGGTTCGACTGGATGTTGGCGCCGTCCACGTTTCCCGCCCCGTTCGGGGCTCGGGCATGGCGACCAGATCGCGTGGATCCCCATAGCTGAGTTGCCTGAGACGTTTTTTTGCCTCCACTATCGGGATCGCCTTCTGTCTCGGTGTTGATCTTACGGGTTCCCTTGGCTTTGAGGCTGAGGGCGCATCCTTAAGATTGCCGTCGCCTCGGGCTTCCAGTCTCAAGGATAGTCTCAGTTAGCAGTGCTCCCGCGCCTCAAACTTTTCCCCTGACTCTCCGACAGTCGGACCGAGGTACAAGATCGAGGTCGGCTCGGGGAGGGTATCCTGGTGTGCTTCGTGTTTGCTGGATGCTCTTCTGCATCCCCGGGAGGGACCCTCGGATGCTCCGATTGTTCGGGCCGACGGAGTGGTCTCATGCTCTCGAGGGATGCTCTTCTGGCCCGGGTCCGACTGCACACCTCCGTAGGCCAGGGCCTCCGCGCCTCCCCTGCCTCGCCGCCTCCCCCCTCCTCGCCTCCCCTGCCTCTCCTCCGCCCCTGCAGGCTCCGCTTGCCTTCGGCCCCGAGGACGGCGCTGGGACCGCCCCCGCACCCGCCCCAGGACGGCCCCCGGCGCCGCCCGAGGCGGCCCACGAAGGCCCCAAGACGGCCCCCCAGAGAGGAAACGCGAGCCGGGAATCCGATCCTTCCGCCCCGAGAGGTCCTCAGGAGGCCCCAGGAGGCGCCGATGGGGGCCCCAACGGGCCTCCTCGACCCCCCTCCTCGTCCTCCGAGCAGCCCTGTCGGCTGCGAGTCTTTGGGGTCGCTCAGCGTTTGCTTCGTTTACTTCCTCCACTTCCGCAGGCCACCAGATTGGCAGAAGATTTGTTTCTCCTTCCCCTTTTCGACGAAAAATGGAACTGCTCAGAAACGAGGGGAAGCCCTGGGATAGACCCCCAGGGGGCTGTTCGGACGCACCCCTATCGAGCATGGACGCCCACCATCGCACGTCCCAGGGCAGGACCCCGCATCTCAGGTCCGCTCGAGAGACCCCGCGAGGCCTGGGAGGGGGGTCGACACATCCCCCGCTGCAGGCGTCGTGGCTCTTCCCAGCTCTCCCGCGCCTGCGCTCCCCCCCTCCGCCCCCTCCGCAGGCGAGGGCCGCCGCTGGCGCCGCGGGCGCCGGCGCCGCCGCCGAGAGCCCAGAGGGCTCGCCGCAGAGAGGCGGCCGCGGCGCTGTCTGCACCTCTCCGGGGTGGCCAGCATCGGTGGTTCCAAAAAGTGGGGTCCTGGGGGGTGGGGTCCCGAGGACGAGGTGTTTCGGACAACGCAGATCCAACCTTGGATCCCTAGGACCCCATCCCTCAGTACCCCATCTCTGAACTGCCGGTAGACGTGCCCCTGGCCCAAGGTGACCCTTCCAAGGAGGCCCCCACGGCCTCCAGAGCACCCCTCTCACGAGGCCTGGAGGGCCCTGCAGGGGTTCCCAAGTTGAGTGAAGAGCTCGGGGGACCTTGTGCCAGGGGCACCTCTAGAACTGGAAGCTTTGGAACATTTGAAAGTGCGGGTGCTGTGCCTCACGGTTGATTGCACAAGCGATGGATTTCTCAGCGCTCAAATGATGCGATCATTTGCGTCAAGCACGGTTGCCGATGCTTTGACCCCAGGGTTCCCCCTTCTTTCGAAGAGATCCGCGTGGATTTCGTGGATCGGCGCCTGGGACCCCCTGGCGGCGCTTCCGGCGCCGTGGGGGGGTCGGCGCCGATCCAAGACATCCGCGCGGGCCTCCGCCAGTTCGTGTCTGTGCTGCTATGGGTTCCTCTATCCCTCGGTCAGCCACTCGGTGCCTTCCCCCTCCCGCAGCTGCGAAGTTGTCGTGACGAGCTGACGGGATCCGTGTGCATTCGTCACAGGTCCAGCGGAGGCGCCCTGGCGCACCCTCCTTCCCCCGGGCCGGCCACTCCGTCCTCCCTCTCCCCTGGCATCGCTCGGACGCGTGCATTCTCGGCGTGGACCATCGAGGACCCTTTCGGGTTATCCTTGCGAGAACATTTCCGCGCGAAGCCGACAAAATGCATGGGGAATGGACGTGCGAGCGACGGCGAGCGCCTCCCCCTGGGCAGTCCCAAGGGGGCCACCACCGACGAGCCCGCCGGCTCCTCCCGGAGACGGGCCTCCCTGGACCCCCCAGAACAGGGGTGGACCTCAGCGGTGTTCGGGCGACTTCGCGGGCCGTTTTCGTTTCGATATCGTTTCGCGGCAAGGGCGAACCCAAGACAAAGCGAGGGAAGACGAGAACAAAACGAGCACGAGAGGCGCTGTTTCAGTCCGCCCAAGCCCTCCTCGACCCCCGCTCCTCCCGCTTCCTCGGCCCCGCGACTTCCGGGAGGAGGCGGCGACCCTCCTGGTGGTGGGCCTCCCTTGGCACTGCCCGGCCCTCCTCCACCGTCCGAGCGACGAGCTCCAGAGCGAGGGCATCGGGTGCCGGGAGGCTCGTCGTCCTGCCCCTCCTCCTCCGCCTCCAGCTGGCGGGGCCAATCGCGCGGGGGGCAGGCTGGCGGGGGCGACAGCATGTAAACCAGTAGCGCGAGCTTTTGTGCGCGGCCTCCCTCAAAGTGCTCCTGGCAGTTCGATGTGTTCCTGGCTCTCGCTCGGTACACCGCCCCATCGAGCATACTCGAGGGTGCCAGGGTGGATGCGGGGCGACAGTGGCAAGGACACTGACGGTGACGATGACGAAGCCGAGGACGACGGCGGCGGCGACGACGATAACACGATGACAGGCCCGATTTAAAGCTGTGCTGGGATTTCCATCCCGGGACGCTGCTACGATGCTTACCTCTGGACCCTCCGCCTCCCCAGCTGGCCAGATGCTTGAGGCCTGCGCCTCAGGCATTTGGCAAGCCAGGGCGCCCATGGCCAGATCCCCGCAACCTCGATTGAGCGCGCCGCGCGGGACACGGCATGAGACAGCCTCAGGACTCTGCAGAGTTTCGCCGAGCGGCGGTTCGCCGAGCAGCGCAGCAGGCAGTGTCGGGGATCCGCAGTGGGGCCTTCCACGCCGTGAAGCCCTGAGTGCTGGCTAAGACGCCTCCAGCAAATCGCCGTCGCCCCTGGCCTCTCGAAGCTGCCTGTGCGGTGGAATGTCGGGCGTCAGTGCGGGAATTCTCGTGGACCCCGTGTTCTCGGGGCGCTCTCGGGCCGGTGTCCTCGAGGGCCCTCTAGGGCCGCCTTGGAGGTGTCTTGGGGCGCTTTTCTGGTCTTCGGGGCCTTGTTTGGAGCCGCCCAGGACTCTCTCGGGGTTATCTCGGGGCCCCCTTGGGCAATTCTAGTGCACTCTTGGGCCGCCTGGCGTCTTCGGAGGCCGTCTTGGAGGGCTCTCTGGGCTGCGTAGGGACCTTTTGGTGCCCTTTGGGCCGTCTTAGGGGCTCGCTTGCGAGCGCCTCGCTGGAGACATCCCCACAATCGGGCCGCGAACGAGCAAGTGTCACCCTCCCCAGCGGCTCCGCTCCTGGTCCGAGTGCGAGTGAGTCTGAGTATGAGTGTTTGAGTTTTTTGTAGTAACCAATTGTTTTTTATTCCAAAAACCAGTCTTGTGGAATTTAAGATGCAAGTTTTGGAATTCAAAAAAACATTTCTTCGAATTCAAGAAACCAGTTCTTTGAAATCACCCCAGAGGGAGGCCGTCAAAGGGGGTTCGTCAAGGGGGTTCGTCAAATTGGAGGGAGGCCGTTTGCCATTTTAGGCATGAGTTGTTATCTTCCCTGGCTATTGCGGTCGGATCGAGGTATAAGATCGAGGTCGGTGCGGGGAGGGCACCCTAATGTTTTCCTATTCGCTAGATGTTTTTGTGCATCATGGGGGAGGGCGCCCTCGCATGTTCTGGGTGTTTTGGCCGGCGGAGGGTCTTGTTTGTTTGAGGGATGTGCTGGCGCGCCCACCCCCGCACGCCTTGGAGGACCTGGCCGAGGGCTGGAACGACAAGGTGCGGGACGGAAAGACGTTCGTGCGGTGGAGTCGGTGACTGCACTGCAGGCAGAGTGCCCGGCAGCCACGGCATATTGGCTGCGTGCGATAGGCAGACAAGGCCGCCGACCGCTCGGACCTTGCCGAGAAGTGGAAGCGCGACGAGGCCCTCTTTGACGAGGGCGCAGGAGAAGGCACCCGAGACGATCGCGCATCGCCACTGGGCTGCCTCGAGCAGTGGCGAAGACGTGGCTTCGCCTGAGCGCGGCAGCGCGGACACGGAGGCAGCAGCGGCTGCCCAGGAAGAGTCCGAGGCGCCAGGCCGTCGGGGGTTAACGCCTCGGGCGTGGCGCACGCGTGTGCCCGCCCTCGAGCCTTTTGGGTTCCCTGCCAGATCCGCCCGGCTCCAACAATCAGGCACACACACATTGGGTGCTGCCAGAGGTGGACCAGGCTCAAGTTGGCGCCCCTGTTTTCCCAGGCCCCGATGGCCGTGGACGCGCCCCGGAAGTCTGAGCGTGAGTGCGCCTTCACTGCCTGCCTCCCTGCCACGCGCCACGCGCCGGAGGCCACTGCCCGCAGGCGAACGGAACCGGGCTGCCGCATCAGCCCTCCACAGTGCCCGAGCGAGCACCCACAGCTGGGCAGCACAGATGTTCATACATTCGCGCACCCAGCTCAGAGGCGCACCCCGCTCGCCTGGCACGCAGCTGGGCGCGGAAGGCAGGGTGCCTCCACGCCTTCTGCCGCGCCACCTCCGCTCGGAGCGCTGCCCCCTCGGCCTCCGGGGCCTGCTTGCCTCCGAGGTGCCACCGGCGCACGAGGAAGGCGGCCGCCGCGCTTCGGCCGTGGCCCCCGGCCTCCGGGCGTCTTGCGCGCGCCCGTGTGTTCGGGTGCAGCTCTTGGGAGGTCAAGTTCTGATTTTGCCCTGGTCCGAAGTCCGGCTCAATCCCGCTGAATCCGGCGTAATCCGGCTTGATCCCGCTTGATCCCGCTTCATCCCGCTCAATCCAGCTTAGTCCCGCTTGATCCGAGGCCCACTCGGGCGTAACAGCCGCCCCACGGGGCTTCATCCTCCTGAATCCTTCCGACGAGAGCCTCCCAGCAGTGGCCTCCTAACACCATGTGGGCCCCCCTCGCCGCGCGGGGGGGGGGTGCCCGCGAGGTGCGCTGCCCGGGCGGCGGAGCTACGCGGCCCGGCTGCGGGTGGACCCGGAGCACGGCGCGGGCATCGAGGCCGGGGCGCGGGGGGGGGGGGCGGCGGCAGCGCGCGCGGAGGGCCCCTTTCTTCAAGTCGTGCGTGTTCCTTTCCTTTGCAGGGGGAATATTCAAATATGAATATCCAGAAATAGTCAGCAATTCATATGGGGACGATTTTTTGTTTTTGTTTTTTTTTGGGTGCGATTCTATTTCCCCACATGTTTCGTGGGGTTCTGGTTTTCTTCCCTGCCGCGGCGCACCCGCGTCTCCTCACCTCCCCTCCTCCTCTTCATTCCTCTCCTCAACCCGCGGTCAACACATGCACGGCAAGTACATGAGACACGCGTCTACATATTGCCGCACGCATGCACACACTCGCACACACAAGACGCATGTTCACTGCATCATACACCCAAGACGTCTGCACAATCCGTGGGGGTCGTCCAGGGCACAGCAGGCATGGCATATTCTCGACACCATAGGGGGTGCGCAGGGGGTGGTCTCTCACCGCGGCCGCTATCCGTGACGGTCGTCCAGGGCATAGCAGGCAGGGCATATTCTCGACACCAGAGGGGGTGCGCAGGGGGTGGTCTCTCACCGCGGCCGCTATCCGTGACGGTCGTCCAAGGCACAGCAGGCATGGCATATTCTCGACACCATAGGGAGTGCGCAGGGGGTGGTCTCTCACCGCGGCCGCTATCCGTGACGGTCGTCCAGGGCACAGCAGGCATGGCATAGCAGCGCATGGCATATCCGTTCTCATGGGACACATGCGCAGGGGGTGCGCAGGGGGTGGTCTCTCACCGCGGCCGCTATCCGTGACGGTCGTCCAGGGCACAGCAGGCATGGCATATTCTCGACACCATAGGGGGTGCGCAGGGGGTGGTCTCTCACCGCGGCCGCTATCCGTGACGGTCGTCCAGGGCACAGCAGGCATGGCATATTCTCGACACCATAGGGGGTGCGCAGGGGGTGGTCTCTCACCGCGGCCGCTATCCGTGACGGTCGTCCAGGGCACAGCAGGCATGGCATATTCTATTAGAGGGGGTGCGCAGGGGGTGGTCTCTCACCGCGGCCGCTATCCGTGACGGTCGTCCAGTGCAGCAGGCACGGTCTCTCACCGCGGCCGCTATCCGTGACGGTCGTCCAGGGCACAGCAGGCATGGCATATTCTCGACACCAGAGGGACAGCAGGAATGGCATACTCTCGACACCATAAGGGGGTGCGCAGGGGGTGGTCTCTCACCGCGGCCGCTATCCGTGACGGTCGTCCAGTGCACAGCAGGCATGGCATATTCTCGACACCAGAGGGGTGCGCAGGGGGTGGTCTCTCACCGCGGCCGCTATCCGTGACGGTCGTCCAGGGCACAGCAGGCGCATATTCTCGACACATCGTCTCTCACCGCGGCCGCGTGACGGTCGTCCGGGGCAGAGCAGGCATGGCATATTCTCGACACCATATGGGGTGCGCAGGGGGTGGTCTCTCACCGCGGCCGCTATCCGTGACGGTCGTCCAGGGCACAGCAGGCATGGCATATTCTCGACACCAGAGGGGGTGCGCAGGGGTGGTCTCTCACCGCGGCCGCTATCCGTGAGGGTCGTCCAGGGCACAGCAGGCACGGCATATTCTCGAGGGGGTGCGCAGGGGGTGGTCTCTCGGCCGCTATCCGTGACGGTCGTCCAGGGCATAGCAGGCATGGCATATTCTCGACACCAGAGGGGGTGCGCAGGGGGTGGTCTCTCACCGCGGCCGCTATCCGTGACGGTCGTCCAGGGCACAGCAGGCATGGCATATTCTCGACACCATAGGGGGTGCGCAAGGGGTGGTCTCTCACCGCGGCCGCTATCCGTGACGGTCGTCCAGGGCACAGCAGGCATGGCATATTCTCGACACCATAGGGGGTGCGCAGGGGGTGGTCTCTCACCGCGGCCGCTATCCGTGACGGTCGTCCAGGGCATAGCAGGCATGGCATATTCTCGACACTGGGGGGGGTGCGCAGGGGGTGGTCTCTCACCGCGGCCGCTATCCGTGACGGTCGTCCAGGGCACATCAGGCATGGCATATTCTCGACACCATAAGGGGGTGCGCAGGGGGTGGTCTCTCACCGCGGCCGCTATCCGTGATGGTCGTCCAGGGCACAGCGGTATCGGCGGGGCAACGGCCACCAACATCATTCTCACATGCTTCACTTCAGCTCTCATCACTCCAGCCATAATATAAGTATGTGGGGTTCCTCGGTAGCGTAATTTTCGTCCAAGATCCCCCTGTAGGGGGACACTCCCGACTAAACCTTCTCTGCCGCCCTCGACTAGACCTAGGTCGGGCATGTCCCTCTACAGGAGGGGTCTCCAAAAATAGTCAAGAAATAGCCTGGGGACGATTTCTCGACTATGTTTGATTCTTCTTCTTTGTGATGATTTCTGTTTTCTCCTCCAAAATCCGGCTGTAGGAGGACATGTCCGACGTAAGTCTAGATGTAAGAGTGACCTGTCGCCGGGGTGACCCTTGGCGCGGGCCCAAAGGGGTCCCCCGACCGCTGGGCGCGAAGTGGCAGCAGCGGTTTGCACGCCTGGGTTTGGCCACCCCGCGTCCTTCGTTAAGCCGTGCACCCAAGGTCACTTTTGCCTCGGGTCACTCTTGCCTGTAGCCGACCCCCCCCCCGCCTGCATCCGCCTCGTGTCCCCTCGTCGGCCCTCCCTCACTCCCTCGCGCATCCCTCCACACTCCGTCGTCTTCCTTTCCCCCCCTCTCTCTGGCCCTCCCTCTCCCCTCTCGTTTCCACCTTTCATCTCGGTCCCCAGTCCCCCACCTCCCCATTCCCCCGCCCCCTCTCAAAGCAGTTTGCCCTCCAGTGGCCAAGAGTTCTGTGCCCCGTGCTTGCGCGTGACGGGTGACCCCAGCGGGTCTTGCATTGCTTGTCATTCTGGTCTCAGGCTGCTGTTGTGGCCCTTCAGGCTGCCTAGCCTAGTCGTCCGGTATTTTTTCTCTAGTCTCTACTCTCTTCTCTCTTCTCGATATTCGCCATTGTTTATTCGGCACTGTCTATTCTCTACTCTGCACTCTATTTTGTGCTCAATGCTCTGTGCCCTCTCCTCTGTGCTCCGTATTGTCTAGTCTCGAATCTTTGTTGTTAAGGATCGTTGTTCTGCCTTTTTTCCATCCTCTGTCCTCTACCTATCTGCTCCAGACTCTAGTCTCTGTACTCTCTACCTCTAGCCTCTGCTCCCCACGCCTCCGCTCTCCCTGCGACGACCCTACAGTCACGGCGCTGACATGAGGACCGCTCTGGGTTCGGACGGGGCTGGCTGCTCCTTGGGTCATTCCGTGGCTGTTCTTCTGGCCCTCCTCGTGCACCTATGCGCTTCTCCGGCCCAAAGGCGGTTCGTTCTTTATTTCGCGTAGCTTCTGGTATGATGGGCCTGTTTTCCACCACCACCGCCATATGTTGGAGGGGGCACGGGGTCCTCCTCCCCCTCTTCTTCTTCCTCCTCATCCTCCACCTCCTTCCCCCTCCAACTTATGGTGGTGGTGGTGGAAAACAGGCCCATCATGGTAGTACCTTGGCTGCATGGCCTCGACCCGATGATCCCGACCCTATGACCAGGAACCCCTGACTTGGCCTTGTGCTGATGGCCAGGACCCACTTGGCTCGTTCCGCCGAGCCTCAAGGGGGCCCCACCGCCTGGGGGGCGCACCCTGGGCGACGACAACCCAGTCGGCACCCACCAGCCCGGGGGCGCCATCACCGCGAGAGCACTTGAACCAGGCAGGCAAAGTGTTGGGACTCCAATTCCTCGAGGGGGGGAGGGCGAGGAGCCCTCGATTACAAGCGGAGTGTTGGAACTTCCACTTCTCATTGCACCAGAGGGAAACCCCAATCAGTGGATGGTTTTCGCTGAGGAGATCGACAGGGAACCCGGGAGCCGGGGAACCCAGAACCCACCGAAATCGGCCCCGAACCAATAGTTGGGAGCCGAACCCGGAGCCGGGACCCGGGAACCCAGCCTATTACTGAAATCGGCTGGAAACTTTCGCCAAATTTTTCAACTTCCGCTGGGACCCGTTCAGTGCAAGCATTGATTGGGGAATCAAAGTGTTGGAACTCCCACTTCTCCAGAGGGGGAGGGCGAGGGCGAGATGAGGCGGGGACGGGGCAGGGAGGGAGGGAGGGGTGCCGCGCCCTCCCGCGGCGGCCACGGGTGGGAGATCGGCAGAGGTCTCCTTATCTTCGCGGGGCGCAACCTCGTGAGAGAATTCCCTCCTCCCTCCTCCCTCCTCCCTCCTCCCCCCTCCCCTGTCCCCCCCTCCTCCCTCCTCCCTCCTCCTCCCTCCTCTTTCCTCCCTCCTCCCTCCCCCTCCTCCCTCCTCCCTCCTCCCTCCTCCCTCCTCCCTCCTCCCTCCGTGCCGCGCTTCGGTGTGGCGCGTGCGCGCGCCTTCCTCCGCAGTGGCCGTGCGCGCCCGTGCCGACGCTTCTGCCGCCGCGCCCTGCGCGGCAGGTGAGCTTCCTGCCCGGCGTGGGGTACCTCCTGGAGTCCGTGGCCGAGGCGCGCGGCCGCAAGATTTATGTCGGGCTTGTCCCCCTACATGGGGATTTGCGACGAAACAAATACCCAAACAATACTCCAAAAAGGTTAAAACAAATACTCAAAAAATAGTCCCCGGACTATTTTTGGAGTATTTTTGGATCATTTTTGGGGTATTTTTTATTTTTCGTCGAAAATCCCCCTGTAGGGGGACAGGCCCGATTTATCGCAAGATCCGGAAGTGAAGGCGGGGGTTGTGATGCTCCAGCCCTGCTTTAGCCCTGATCGCCAGGAATAATTTCGAGCGCCCCAAAGAAGTTCCGAGACTCGAGGGCTTTCACGCGTCGGGTCCTGGGAGGCACTCGCCTGACACTGTTTCGACACTGTTTCGATACTCTTTTGACACTTTTCCGGGTGCTCGAAATCATTTCTGGGATGTTGTCCTTAAGTAGGATGGGAACAACATAAGACGAGGATGGGGGGCAGGGAGGAAGGTCTCAGAGGAGGGTCCGATACCTCCAGGCCTCCTGGATTCAGGCGATCGCAAACATGGATTCAGGGGGCGTGGATCAGCGACGGGTGCCGTTTCCATGGGGAAATCGCGGATTTCCGCCGCCGAGCGAGGCGGCACCGGCCGCACTTTGGGGAGGGCATCTCCCCCGATCCATGGATTTGGCGACCGCGCGCCTAATCCATGGATCGCTAATCCATGTTTGCGCGCCCCCGATAGATGGGGTCGGAGTAGGGGTCGGAGGATCGAGCCGCATCGCCGATCCATCGCCGATGCGGCTCGATGTGGAGCCCGATGTTCTCCACGCCGGCGTCGCCGATGCACTGCCGACGTCGCCGAGGTACCAGATCACCGAGCGCGTTCCACTACTCTCGAAGTGCCCACTAGCAAACGTCCGAAACATGTCTTCCTCTATGCAGTGTATCGTGAATCTCCTTCGGTGGATCCAGGCCATCTGCGAGTAGTAACTTTGCGAATAGCGGAACGCGCTTGTCCATCAGAGGAGGAAGGGTACCGATGCCGCCACTCGTCCTGGAGAGCCCTCGTCGCCAGGGCTGGACTCTTCTCGAAAGGCTGGTCAGGATGTGTCCAGGTGAACGAAAGTGATCTGCTTTCTTCCGTCTCGAGAGGCAGGTGTGCAGGCGCCTCGACGCTTCGGCCCAGTCGACCTCGACTTCCCTGTTGGCTCGCTCGATGCTCAGATCTCGTGTCGTTGTGATCTCATCCTTGTCTTCTGCTTCCATGAAGAGTTGGCGCGGGTCATCGTCGGGGGCCTCTGCTGTGGCACGCTTCGCCGCGATGTCTTATATCAGCCTTACCGTGTCATGCTGTATCGTGCTGTTCATGCGCATGTGCACAGGGGCGCATCGCGCATGCTGGGCAATCAGAGCTTCCGCGGTGCTGGTGCGGCATGACGCCCTTAGTGATTTTTCTCTCTTGCACTCTTCTCATCCGTGCCGCATCGCTGACTCTGTAGGGATATCCGTAAGGGCTTCGCCCCCTGCCGCCGGCCCCCTCTCGGGGAACGGGGTATGCAGGAGCTATGTTATGAGGCCTGGGCGCCGCCGTGAAGCAGCGTCGGAACACCGAACGGGGGCCACTGGAGATACCTGTACGACCACCCGACGGGTGATAAGGAGGTTTTTGGGGGGAGGGGGATCTCACTATCGTTCTCACTATCGGTCTCATCGATCTAACTATCGATATCATTATCGATATCACTATCGATCTCAGCACGTGAAACCACAGGGCACCGATGGGACACCGATGGGACACCGACGGGACACAATCGATCTCACTGTCGATCTCACTATCCATCCCACTATCGATCCCACTATCGATCTCGCTATCGATCTCACTATCGATCTCGCTTTCGATCTCACTATTCATCACACTATCGATTCCACTATCGATCTCGCTATCGATCCCACTCTATCGATCTCACTATCGATCTTACTATCGATCTCACTATCGATATCACGATCGATCTCACTATAGATCTCACTATCGATCTCTCACTGTGGATCTCACAATCGATCTCACTATCGGTCTCATCATCGATCTCACTATCGATCTCACTATCGATCTCACTGTCGATCTCACCACGGGACACCACGGGACAACGACGGGACACCGGCGGGACTCCAACGGGACACCAGCGGGACAACGGCTGGACACCGCGCGCCACCGGTTGCCGGGCGGAGAACCTTTTGGTCCAGCCGCGGCCCAGCCATAACGGGACACCAGCGGGACACCAGCGGGACACCGGCGGGATACCGCGCGCCACCGGTTGCCAGGCAGAGAACTTTTTGGTCCAGCCGCGGCCCAGCCACAGGAGAATTTCCTTTCCCCCGCCCACGCAGCTTCGCCTCGCCCGCACGCACGGCACGAACACGAAACCAAAATCGATTTTCCGGTGGGGGGGCTCTCCGTTCCACTTCGATCTCACCCCCCAACCTCTGATGAGCGTGCCAGAATCCATCAAACACCTAAGAACAATCGCAGATGTTGGCCTCTTGGGCCCCTCTTGGGGGCTCTCTTCGAGCGCTCTTGGGGGCCTCTTGGGAGCCTCTTGGGCCGTCTTGGGACCATCTTGGACGCCTTGGAGCACTCTTGGGACGTCTCGGAGGTCTCTAGTACCGTCTTGGGGGCCACTAACAGCTCACTGCGTGGAGCTCCCCATATGTGCATCTCATGTTTTATGTCATGCCATAGTGATCGTCTGTTCACGAGCGTTTGACTTTTTGCGAACGGGCCCGTGTCCTACCCCCTGGCGGCTCTCCTTAGGGATGCTGAAACCAGCGCCGCGCCTGAGACGTCCTCAAAAAATGCTCTGAAAGCCAAGGATGTTGGGCATAAAAACGAGCCAACCGCCTGAGACATTCCCACAAACTGGCCGCGAACGGGCCCGTGTCCTACACCCTGGCGGCTCCTTTTTAGGGGTGCTGAAACCAGCGCCCCGCCTGAGACATCCTCAAAATCTGCTCTGAAAGCAAGGATGTTGGGCATGAAAACAAGCAAACCGCCTGAGACATCCCTACAAACTGGCCGCGAACGGGCCCGTGAAAACACCCCTGGCGGCTCCCCTTAGGGGTGCTGAAATCAGCGCCGCGCCTGAGACGTCCTCAAAATATGCTCTGAAAGCGAAGGATGTTGGGCATGAAAACGAGCAAACCGCCTGAGACATCCCCACAAACTGGCCGCGAACGGGCCCGTGAAAATGCCCCTGGCGGCTCCGCTTAGGGGTGCTGAAACCAGCGCCCCGCCTGAGACATCCTCACAATCTGCTCTGAAAGCAAAGGATGTTGGGTATGAAAACGAGCCAACCGCCTGAGACATCCCTACAAACTGGCCGCGACCGGGCCCGTGTCCTACCCCCTCCTCCGGCTCCTTTTAGGGGTGCTGAATTTAGCGCCCCGCCTGAGACATCTTCACAATCTACTCTGAAAGCCAAGGATGTTGGGCATGAAAACGAGCAAACCGCTTGAGACATCCCCACAAACTGGCCGCGAACGGGCCGGTGAAAACACCCCTGGCGGTTCCGCTTAGGGGTGCTGAAACCAGCGCCCCGCCTGAGACATCCTCTCAATCTGCTGTGAAAGCCAAGGATGTTGGGCATGAAAACAAGCAAACCGCCTGAGACATCCCCACAAACTGGCCGCGAACGGGCCCGTGTCCTACCCCCTGGCGGCTCCTTTTAGGGGTGCTGAAACCAGCGCCCCGCCTGAGACATCCTCAACATCTGCTCTGAAAGCAAAGGATGTTGGGCATAAAAACGAGCCAACCGCCTGAAACATTCCCACAAACTGGCCGCGAACGGGCCCGTGAAAACACCCCTGGCGGCTCCGCTTAGGGGTGCTGAAACCAGCGCCCCGCCTGAGATATCCTCATCATCTGCTCTGAAAGCCAAGGATGTTGGGCATGAAAACGAGCAAACCGCCTGAGACATCCCCACAAACTGGCCGCGAACGGGCCCGTGAAAACACCCCTGGCGGCTCCCCTTGCGAGTCTGAGTATGACTAGGTCTGAGTATGAGTAACCTCATGCCCGTGAGAATAAACACTAGGGGATAATAAAGTTCGGGGTTCAGGGAGAGATAATAAAAGTAGCCCAGCAGACCTCAGCATAACCTCGAAGTAAGAGATGATCAAGAGGAGACCAAGCCGAGCACGTTTTGAGACATCCTTGGCGTTTAGTTTTCATAGAAATATCCTCAACAATGGCTTATCTCGCTGGAGACATCCTCGACAAATCCCTTGTTTCGCTTGAGACATCCGCAAACTATTGCTTATTTCGCTTGAGACACAGTCAAACTATTGCTTATTTCGCTTGAGACATCAACCCCATGGATAATCAACCCCAGGGATAATCAAGTTCAGGCGAGCGTGGGGACATATATAAATATAAAAGAAGAAGAGAAGAGTATAATAATAATAAGAAGAGAAGGAGAAGAGGAGAAGAATAAGAAGAGAAGAAGACAGGAAAAATTCAAAATTCCAAATATATCAATTTTAATTTACAAACGCTTTATGATAATCTATTTTTTTAAGTGCTCATGTAGGGTAGCTCATGTGCTTCAGTTTCCATGGGTAATCAAACCCCAGGGATAAAAAGTTCAGGCGCGCGCGGGGATATATACAAATATAAAATACGGATAACATACGAGATAAGTGTGATCGCTTCGCTTGATGTTGCTATATCAACATCGCTTGGTGTTGCTATCTCAACATAGCGTTTCGAGGTGATAATGAAGTTCGGCCTCAGCGCTCGCCGCCCAATTTGAATTTTGTATAGGGCGACGATAATCAACTCTAAACACTGAAGGGGGGGGGTCCCTTTATTATCATCGGCATGCGGTTCGGTCTCAGTGCGTGCGTTGAGTAACTGAGACTGTGAGAACGTCTGAGTATGTGTAGGTCTGAGTATGAGTAAGTCTGTGTATGAGCAGGTCTGGGAACGAGTCTGCGTATGAGTAAGTCTGGGTATGAAGGAGTCCCAGCATGAGTAAGTCTGAGTCTGAGTAGGCCTGCATGTTGTGTGTTGAGTAAATCAGACCATGAGAAGGTATGAGTATGAGTAGGTCTGAGTATGAGTAAGTCTGTGTATGAGTAGGTGTGTTCTCGCTGGTTCTCTGGAGTCGGCGGCGTCCGAGTCATAACAAGAACCCCATCTTAGGATATGGGGAAACGGATTGTGACCTCGAAAGCGTGAATGCTGCGTACTTCGCGAGGGTTTATGATTTCAGGGACGCGAAGAACGTGTAATTTACAAGGGATCGTGGCTTCGGGGACGCAGATCTTATGTAATTTACGGGAGAGTATTGCCTCGGACACGCGAGTATTGGGTAGTTTATAGAAAATGATGGTCGCGGGAGCGCGAACACCGAATCATTTGCAACGGTTTATGGCCTCGGGGACGCGGATATATTTCATAGTTTACTAAGGATTATGGCCTCGGGGGTGCGAACCTGGCGTGATTTACAAAGGATTACTTCTTCGGGGGCACGGATCTCATGTATTGTACGTGTCCGAGGACCCCCCAGCAATTCCGAGACCGTCCCCCGAGGTGGTGGCAACCAGGGCCCTGATCGGCTCTCCCCCCCTCTCGCGCGGGCTTTCTCACAATTCTCAGTAGGAATCAGAACGCAGGACTACAAAATGGGAGACTTGGAACTGGAACTGCCAATTCACAGCAGGAAGCAGAACGTAGGACTACGAAATGGGAGACTTGGAACTGGAACTGGAGCAGGGCGGAGCCTTGTGGCCCAACAAGGTGGCCGGCGGATGCCGTCCAGGCGCGCGTACACTTTTTTCTTGTCGGCAGCGAGGCGGGACGATCCGCCCCAGCGTGGCAGCGATGCAGGGGCACTACACAGCGAACTGGCCAGCATGCTGGAGGAGGGAAAAGGAGTGGCAGGAGCTCCAGGCGCGCGAGCACGACTGGGCATCTGAGGGGTCAGTCTGGCGACGCCGAGGCCCGCTGCTGCCTCGTCCTGCGCAGCTGCCCCGGCCGGGCGTGCGCGCCCCCTCCGCCGCAGGTCCCGGGCCAGCCGGAGCTCTGCGCCGGGCACGTGATCGTGGGCCTGTCTGTCGACGACGCGCAAGAGCGACCGTTCGCCGGAGTGACCCTCTGGTGCGGGCCCACTGGGGCTCCTGGATCGCCGAACGCGATGCGATAGCAGCGGCCTCTGCGGGCTTGGGTTTGGCCCCCCCGCCCCCGCCGCGCCCCCCCCGAAAGCCGCGCACCTATAGGGTCACTCTGGCCTGGGGTCACTCTTGCGTGCAGCCAAGTCTGGCTCGGTAGCGGGTGAGGACGTTGTGTCTCTCGCTCTGCTGGACGAGGACGAGGCCGACGAGGCGCTGGCCGCGCACCTCGTGGACGGGGTAGAGCTGCACGTGGACGCAGCCCCAGCAGGTCAAGCTCAGCCGGGCCCATGGTCGGCTGAGCCAGCTTCCGAGCTTCGGAGGCGACGACGAGGGCGAAAAGTCCAGGGGCGGGTATGACACGCATTCGCCCGGGGGCCTCGCCGAAGGCGTGGGCCACTGGCGCCCCCGGGATGCAGGTAGCTCATGCTCTCCCCAGGAGCCCTTCGCCCCCCTCGTCGCCCCCGAGAGCTGGCGCCCGACGACGGCATCCTGGCACCGGCTGCGGCGAGTCAGGTCGGGCGGGTGGCAGCGGGGGGGGGTGACCCACGTTCGGAGGTTGACAAACCTCCTACCCTGACACGTCGATTGGCGAATTGGCCGTTTTCGGGTCGTGAGAGGTCGTCTCGGCCGTCATTTTTGCGGGTCCTGGTCCGTCGGTTTCGTCCCCAGGCCGTTTTCACTAGAGGGTGGCTTACTAAAGGGAGGTTCGTCCACCGCTGACACATGGGGGCGAAGAACAGGGCCCTAAACGGGGCCCCTGAGGGCCCCTTTTGGAGCCAGCTGGTGCCCGAAAGCAGCCCTACAGGGCCACTTTCGGGCTTCTTTCTTCACTCCCGTTTGGGCGACGCCAACAAACGAGGTCGCCTGCGCCGACATTGGCGCGAAAGCTGCCCGCGTAAGGTCGCGCGTAGGCGCCCTCGTCTTTAAGCGTGGCGTGCCGCGCGGGCGGACCGCGTGAGCCACCGTGCAAGGTTGCTATACGTCATCTCGCGCATCAAGAAACCATATAGTTTTCGTCAGGGTATCCTGGGTTTCTTCGCTCCGCGCGTTGCGCGGCGACTTCCCGCGGCCGTTGAAGCAGCTGCTGCGTCCAGGGTGCTCCAGGCTCCCCCTCCCGTGCACTTCGCGCGCGTGTCTTCGGGGCTGGGCCTCTTGCGAGGGCTCCCTGCGGCCGCGCCCGCACTGTACCTTGCCGCCCGCCCGCTCAGGGCGGCCCGGTGCCGGTCGAGGACCCGTGGCTCGCGGCGGCGGCGCGGGCCCCGGGGCAGCCGCAGGCGCCCGGGCGGCCCGGCGGCCCGGGCGGCGGCGAGGCGCCGCCCGCGCGGCCGTGCCCCGGGGAGGCGGCGGCCGCGGGCGGCCAGGGCCCCGCGGCCGACGAGTGGGCGCAGGCGGCCCCAGGCCCGCCAGAGGTCCGCGGGCGGCTCAAGCGACCCCTGGCAGTAAGTCGGGGTCTGTCTCTCCACAGGGGGGCTGTGCAGGCACAGTCAAACAATAGTCGGGGGAGGATTTCTGCATGATTTTTGAGCACTTCTGGAACATGTTTTTTGGGTATCTCATGCTGATGCCATCGGCCCCCCCCCCCCCCCGCGCGAGGCGCCCCCCCCCCCCCTCCCACTCCCCCTGTGGGGGTGTAGTGCGGTGCTGTGGGTGTGGCGTGTGTGGCGTGGTGCTGTGGCGCTCCAGGGGAGCTCCGGAGGTCGTCGTCGTCGTCGTCGTCGTCGGATGGATCCGGAGGTCAGCGCCGCCGCCGTCGTGGCCGTCGTCGTCGTCGTCGTCGTCGTCGTCGTCGTCGTCGTCGTCGTCGTCGTCGTCGTCGTCGCCGCCGCCGCCGTCGCCGTCGCCGTCGCCGTCGCCGTCGCCGTCGCCGTCGCCGTCGCCGTCGCCGTCGCCGTCGCCGTCGTCGTCGTCGTCGTCGTCGTCGTCGTCGCCCCCGCCCCATTGCATCCCATCTGCTGGGGGGGAGGGGGTGCCCGAGAGATCCTGAGACCCATCCCATCTGGGGGGCGCGGGGCCGTGGGCCCGGAGCCCGGGATCATGTATGCGGCCAGAGGGGAGCTCGAGAGGCGAGGATGACGACACGGCAGGGGATGGTTTGCGAGGGGCCGGTTGGGCCGCGCCCGAGGAGGTCCTGCCTGGCAGCTGGGGCCCGGCCGTGGACGAGTGGGCGGAGGAGCTGCCGGCCGCGGCGGCGGCGGAGGAGGAAGTGCGCGAGGTCGAGCTGCCGCCAGCCTCGAGCACGGCCGAGGATCAGAAGAGGAAAAGGTGCCCATACTCCTACCCTTCCCTCGTTTTCCCCTCTTTGGGCCTCCTAGGAGGCCCTCGTCGCCACCGCTGGATTCGTCTCGGAGTCCTGGTAAGAACGCGCCCCCAGAGAGGTCCGTGGACTCGCGGTATCGGTACCTACTGGTTTCCCCAGAGGAGCAGGAGCACGCGTCGGAGGCGTCGGGTCAGGCTGAGGAGACCGACGAGACGGTGGCCCCTTTCTTCTCCGGCTCCGCGTCGTCGAGCCGCGCCTCGCCGCCCTCTGGCGCGGCTGCCGGGGGTGACGCCATGGGCCCTGGCGGCAGTGGCGCAGGGTGCCTGGCAGGTGCAGGCCCCGAGGCCCTGGAGGGCATGCCGATGCCAGCGTTCATGCTCGCCGCCTTGCCCGCGGCTGGTGGAGCCGGAGCAGTCGGTGCCTCGCTGCGCAGCCTGGGCGCTCCTCCGCCAGGCGCGGCGATCACGTCCTGCGGGGTTCCGTCCTCGGCGGCCTCCAGCTCCGCAGCATGCGCGAAGTCCGCGCCCGACCCGGCAGAGGCGCCACCCTCGGGCGCAGCGATCGGCGAGGCGACGCTCCAGTGCAAGGTGAGGGGCCTCTGGGAGTGGCTGTGCGAGATGAGGCTGCAGGAGTACCACGGCAGTGCGGTCAGCTGGTGCGTGGAGATGGGGGCCGCGTCGCTGGATGAGGTGGCGGAGAACATCGAGGACCTTGCAGAGGCCATCTCGCTGAGGCCCATCGAGCGCCAGCGCGTCCAGAAGTGGGCCGCGCACCTGCTGCGGCAGCCGCCGGCCCTGCCCGCTGGCGCCGCCGCCGGGGGCCGCCACTGGCAGCCCGACGGGGCCCCGGCCAGCCCGCAGCCGCCAGCACCGGCCTGGGCCCCGGCCGCCGCGGTGTCCTCTGAGGCCGTCCAGCAGCCCCTGCCCGGCGCCGCGGCGCCAGCGGGGCGCCCGACCGCGCCTGCCGCCCCAGTGCACTACGCTGCGCGCACCGTGCGCCTGGCGATGGACTCGAGGGGCAACACGGGGCTGGACCTGAGCTGGGACGAGGAGTGGGGCATCCTGGTGCGCCGCGTGGACCCGCTGCCCGGGCAGCTGGGCCTCGCGGCCGGGGACTACATCGTCGCCATCGACGGCTGCCCGCTGCGGCACCGCTCCCACGCGGACTGCGACGCCCTGTTCAAGGAGCGCCTGAGAGACGGCGTCGCCCTCAGCATCGCGACGCCCGAGCACGCCGCCGCAGCGGTGGTCTGGGGATGACCCCCCCCCGCCCCCCCCCCCCCACATATATATGTATATATATATATATACACACACACACACCTATACTGGGGGACGTGGCCGGGGGGTCCCGCCCAAGGACCTCGACATGTCGAGGTCCCCTGGCCCGGGGCCCCCCCATTCCCTGCAGGGAATGGGGGGGCCCCGGGCCAGGGCATGGGGGGCCCGGGGCCTCACTTTCCCTATGTTTTTATAAGGACTCCCTGTGTTTTTAAAAAAGGTTTCCGCCACCCGGACCCACCAGAGCCTCGGAGGACGTGGCCGGGGGGGCCCGCCCAGGGACCTCGGCAGGGCATGGGAGGCTCGGGGCCTTACTTTCTTTGTGTTTTGAAAGAGTTTCGACCACCTGGGGCCACCAGAACCCCGGGGGACGTGGCTGGGGGGGTCCCGCCTCGGGACCTCGGCGGCGCATGGGGGGACCGGAGATTTATTTTCCGGATGTTTTTAGAAGGTTTCGCCGGCCCGGAGCAGAGCCCCTTGGGACGTAGCCGGGCGGGTCCCGCCTGGGGACCTCGGTGGCGCATGGGCGGCCCGGGGCCTTCCTCTCTCGTTTTGTTTTTACGACAGTTTTACCAAGGGACGGCCCCGCTCAGGGACCCCGGCGGGGAATGGGGAGCCCGGGGCCTTACTGTCCTTCTGTTTTTTGCATTGTTTCGGCAACCCAGAGCCACTGGAGCCCCGGGGGACGTGGCCAGGGGGGTTCCGCCCAGGAACCTTGACGGGTCATGGGGGCTTCCCCTGTGTTTTTACAGTGTTTCGGTCACCCGGAGCCACCAGAGCTCCGGGGAATGTAGCCGGGCGGGTCCCGCCCAGGGACCTCGGCGGTGCATTGGGGGCCTGGGGCCTTACTTCCTTTGTGTTTTTACATGGTTTCGGCGACCCGGAGCCGCCAGAATCCCAAAGAGAGTTCGAAGAGGCCGCCAAGATGGCTCAAGAGGTGCCCTCGACCGTCCAGGGGGCCCCCAAAACAGTCCCAGAGGGCCCCGGGACAGCTTCCCCACACAGCCCCGAGGGGTACCCCACCCGACATTTCGAGCCATCCTCCTCAAAAAACACCCCTGAGACCCCAAGAAACCTTCAAGAGCCTTCGAAACAAAACCAAGCGGGCCCCACGGGGCCGCCAGGAGGCCCCAAGAGGCTCCCAAGAGCCTTCTCCCCAGACGCACTGAGGTACTCTGGCCAATCCAGCCGTTCTGGCTCAGATTGTTTCTGAGCTTGGTCGTGCGAACTTCAGAACGGCGCTGCACGATCGAGCCTTTTTGGCTTTGTTTTCCCAGCCTGCCGTGTGCAGGTGGCGCCTGCAGTCCGTATGTCAGCATCAGCATACCGCAATGGCAGTGGCGGCAATGGCAGCCAATTCTCCTCGGCTACCTGGCGCTGATCAAACTGTGGGTGCAACCGCAACAAGCTCTCTTGGTTCTGGTGCAAGCACTGCGGTGCGCAGTGGCAGAAGCTGGCTGAGTCCCAATCCCGTGGGGGCGCGTGGGCATATCCTGGTGATGGTCTTCGCCTTGTTGGTAAAGGACCTGGTCAGCCTCCCTTGCGCCCAGGGCTCCTCGCGCCAGGTGTACCGCCAGTGGGAGCTACGATCGCCCCGACCATCCCGCCAGTCGCCAAGCTCGAGGACATCCAGGCCACCATCGACGCGCTCACCAAGGTTGGGGATCGAGTCGGGGCGGCCACCTACATCAATATCCTCGAGCAGCGGAAGGCAAACCTTGCCGCAGCAGGCAAGCAGCAGCCTCTCCAGCAGCGTGTCAACTCCGCCTTCCAGTCGGTTCGGAATCTGGAGGGCAAGCTGGAGAAGGCTCTGGCGCATTTCCAGCGATTGGAGTCTCAGTTGGCAGAGCAGAAGGAATGGGTTTCGAAGGTCAACGAGGAGCTGGTGGCCGCAGAGACGGAGCACACCCAGCTGGTCCGCGCTTTGCATGCCAGCGCCTGTGGGCCGCCAAACCCCACCTCGCCAGCTCCAGCGAATGTGGTCACCATCTCGATCGATGACATTTTGGTTGGCAAGTCCAGTTTGCCCATCTCTATGGGGAGCTTCGGCCAGCTCGACGACGGCATCTACGAGTTGGACCAGCGAGCTCGAGATGAAGCTAAACAGCGAATGGAGAAGTTACAGGCCGACGTCAAGGCGGCCATCGGGGTGCTCTTCGGGGACGCGTCGGCTAAGATCAAGGCGGCGAAGGAGGAACATCAATCCTTGCTCGGACGTCTTCAGGAGAACAAGCGTAAGGTCGATGGAGCAGACAGAGAAGGGGCGGCCGCAGCAGGAGGCGCCTCACCAGCTGCATCAACACCTGAGGGCACAGCGCCCCCCTCTGAGCCTGCCCAGTCTATGCCAGCCGCTCCCGCGACTGCCACCTCAGAAGGCCCCGCGCCTTCCTCGGTGGAGGGGGAGACGGCGCGGCGGGCCGCTCGGGTGGCAGCGGCCATTATTTTGCAGCAAGGGGAAGCCCCCCTCCCACCCCCCCTCTCTCCTCAGGTGGCGCAGCCGCAGCTTGAGGGGGTGGGGTAGGTGGGTGGGTGGGTGGGTGGGTGGGTGGGTGGGTTGGCGGGTGGGGTGGGTGGGTGGGTGTGGGTGGGGGTGGGTGGGTGGGTGGGGTGGGGTGGGTGGGGGGGAGGGTGGGGGTGGGGTGGGGTGTGTGTGTGTGTGTGTGTGTGTGTGTGTGTGTGTGTGTGTGTGTGTGGTGTGTGTGTGTGTGGTGTGTGTGTGGGCGCTTAACTTTAGTTTTATGGGCGGGCTTAGCCAGCCCGCCATTTCCCAAGTCTGGTCCAGGCTCACCTAGGTTAAATTGCGCGCTCGAAGGGTCATATTTTTTGTCGCCTACCCAGGCCCAGGCCCAGGGGCGTCAGGGGCCCCCCCCCCCCCCTCCGTGCCTCCGCCTACCCCCCCCCCCGCTCCAGGAAGGTGGGTCTGACCTCGTCCTCGTGTTTGTGACTGCCAACGTCTCAGGGTGGGGGTCGGGCCACGAGTTGTTGCTAAATAACCTCCGCGCATGTCGCCTGCGCGCAGGGACATCACCTTCTGGCACCTTCTGGCAGGGGGGCGTTTGGAGCAAGCGAGTGCCTGGGCTTCTCGTAACAAGTGGCGTGCCATATGAGGCCCAGCGGCTCCAGGGGACGGCGCTGGGTCCAAGGGAGGTGTCGCGATCTTCGTCCGAGACTTCCTGGGCTTGCACCATGGTGTCGCCTCGCCGTCGCCGTCTCGGGTCATCTCAGGTGTTGCGGGGATTCCTGGTGGTCTGGATTTTCGGTGACGTCGATATACCTTAGAGATGGTACTGGCATCGACCAGTACAACCAGCAGTTATTGTCGGGCGCAGGTCAGGCCTCCACGGGCCCCTGCCTCCCATGGCTTCTTCGTGGTGATTTCAATCTCCCCCCGTGTGATTTACATGGGTATGGTCACCCTACGCAGTGCGGCGGTGGAGTGACCCCCTATCCGGCGCGTTCTGGGACGTGTCAAACTACGGGCGGCATGGAGATGAACGATTATTTTTTGGCTAGCCCTGGCCTTAGCTTTGCCGTCCAATCCCTGGAACTCGTGTCGGATGGAGATCACTCGCCGCGCTGACTTGTGCAGATCACGTTGTTTCGGCAATGCGGGCACCTCCGTGCGACGGCGCTCGCTGGGCCGCAGCGCGCCCCGCCCGCTCGCCTGATCGGGCCTTGCGGCCCTCCGCCCGACTACCAGCTAGCTATGGACTTGTTGCAGGATGCGCTCGTGGCTGCTCGGGCTGAAAAGGGGAAGGAAGGACTCTCGGGCCCTTCTCGCGAGTGCTTATCGTGCCTGGGCGGATCTGGCGGAAGCTGAAGTCGCGGAGTTGGCGGGAGTTGAGCTCAAGGCCCCAGGGGCCCGTGGGGCCGCCCCTGCTATTGTCTGGCAACCCGTTTACCTTCGGGATGTGGAACCACCTCGCCAGCCCGAGCTGGTCTCTGTCAGGTGGCTATGGATAGCCATTTTAATGCTCGAGGCCAGTATCCAGCATCCTCTCCTGGCTGGCCTCTCTTTTGCTATTTCTTACGGCTTCGCTGTGCCGCCGGCCATTGCCAGGCGCCAAGGTGAGTATCGGCACCTGTTCCACACGGCCTTTGATTTGTGCCACTCCTCGTCGTTCCACCCCTGGCCTGAGGGCCTCGGTTGCAGGATCAGTGAGTTGCGGGGTCGTGTCAGGGAAGCTTTGCGCCAGGCAGAGCAGTTTGCGCGTAATTCTGCTTCTCAAGCTTGGAGGGCTTGGCTCCTCAAGGGCATCGACAATGGTGGGCGTGCTGTGCATTTGGCCACCGAGGCCCCCGCTCCGTGGCAGCCACGTACGGTCTTGGCGGCGGGAGGAAGAATGGTTAGTGATCATCAGAGTCTGCTTGCTGCTGAGGCCAGTAAGCACAAATCTTTCTGGCGGGCTTCGCCCGCCCCGCCGACCCCGACGACGGACTTCCTGCCCGCTCCCGAGCTTCCTCGCCTCGAGCTGGGCGTGGTTCGGGAAATCTGCCTCCGACAAAAGGAGAGGCCGGCTGTTGCCACTGATTGTTTCCACCTTCGCCACCTGGGTTGGTTGTGTGACGAGGGCCTGCAGTGCCTTTTGGGTCTGTTTCTGGTTATGGAATCCTCTGGCTTGCTGCCGGACCAGTTGGCGATGGTTATCATGTTTTTGATTCCTAAGGTTCCCGTAGGAGTGCGTCCCATTGGGATTTTCACGGCGCCTTACCGTGCCTGGGCAGAGGCCCGCAGGCCGATTGCCGATGCTTGGGAAGCCGCGCATGCGCAGCCATATTTCGCAGCTGGTTCATTCACTGGAGCAGGGGACACTGTTTGGAGACAACTTCGCATGGCTGAAGCTGGTGTTTCATCCTTCAAAATCACTGTCAACCTGTTGTGGGATTTCTTCAAATACTATGAACTCCTTCCTTTGCACCAGCTGCAGCAGAGGTGTTGTCGGCGCGAATTTCCGCTTGCTGTCAGCCGCCTTGCCATCCGTGCTTGCTCGTCTGTGCGGCACCTCGCGTTCCAGGCTATGGTGTCGAGTGGGGTTTTCGCTTCTAATGGAGTGGTGGTGGGCTGCAGGATGGCCGCGGCGATGGCCCGCGCCAATGCCCTCGACCCCTGGGCGCTATATCCTGGAGCCCAGCTGTCGGTTTCAAGCTCTACATTGACGATGGCAGTATATCGGCTGTAGGGGATTTTCAGGAGGTGGTGGAAGGGGTCGCTGCAGGTGCTCGGCAACTGCAGAAGGCGTCGGTCGCGATCGGCGCATCCCTCTCGGCCGACAAGGCCGCCCTGATTTGTGGCAACCGAGGGGCGGGGCTTCAAATCTAACGAAACCTTGGTCTGGAACCTCGCGGGGCCTCTGGTTCCCTCTGGGGTTAACCTCGGGGTTGACGACGCGCTGGGTCGGGCTCAGAGGGCCCTGGGGCGAAACTCCAAGGCTCAAGAGCGCAGGGCGGCTGGGGGGGCGAGGGCCGTCAGGTTGGGGCGTCTTTCGAGGCGCCTTTCCCGTCGTCGTCTTCGTCGTCTCTGGATGGCTGGCCCCTCCCCGTGTCTAATTATGGGTCGGAGTGTTTCGGGCTCTCTTCTGCGGAGCTTGTGAAGCTCAGACGCTCCCTCGGTCGCCTGCTCGAGTCTTCTGCGGGTCAGCGTTCCCTGTCCACGTTGATGCTCTTAGAGGGGGGCCCCACCTGGCTGACCCAGGTCTCTTGTGTTACCAGGTGGCATAGGGAGGTCTGGGTTTCTGCCGGTGCCCTCAACCCCGCGGCTGTGCCGATCCCCCAGCTGCGTCGGCATTGGCAGGCGGTCTGGCACCTCCCCATGCCCACCTGGAGGGGTGTTTCTGGCCCCCTCTCGGCTGTTAGATTAACCCATGCACAGACTGGGTTGGAGTATGCTCGAGTTTAATCGCCTCCAGGGCGATCTTGGCTCGGTGCACGAGCTTTTTTACACGTCCCCTGCCCTCCTCAGGACTCATCTTCGTTCGGCCGTCCTCAGGATATTGGAGAGAGACATTGCAGCTAAACGCCACTTCGACCACGATCGTCTCTCCTTCGACGTGGTCTTTTCTTGTGTATCCTCTTCGAAGTTTACCCTCCCCCCCCCTCCCCTGCAAAAGGGGGCTCTGCGGGCGTGCTCGTGCGACGGCATCTGGACTCGCATGGCAGCGCGCAGTCGTGGTTATCAGTTCCCAGCTGTATGTGAGTCATGTGGTTGCCCGTCCGATTCTATCTTTCACCGTCTCTGGAGCTGCCCAGCTCTCGAGAGGGAAAGGGGGGGGCTGGTCGAGGAGGAGCTGATAAATGGTGTCAAGACCATGTGAGTTCGTCCGATATGCTTTTCGCGGTCACCCGAGGCGCCCTGCCGAGCCCTGGAGATCGCTGCCCGCCCCCCGTGCATATGGACGAAGACGTTTTCGAGATTACTTGGCACGTGCCCCCTTCCCCTGCCAGAATTTTCGGCTGTCGTTTTTGTTGACGGTTCCTGTTCGCGTAGGATTATAAAGGAGCTGTCGAGGGCCTCTTGGTCAGTGGTTTTGTATTTTAACGAGCAGGTAAGGCTTGCTGCCGTCTCTGGCCCAGTCTGGTCCCCCATGCCCCAGGCGCCCCAGGCTGGATAGTTTTGTGCCCCTTAGCTGCCGTCTAACTGATTGAGGGTCCGCCGGAGTTGGCTTCGGACTGCTTGAATGTGGTTCGGTCGTTTGCCCTTGAACGGCAGTCGCAACTTTCCGACAAGAGGATCTACGCGGGCCATGCATTGCAAGCCAGAGCCTCCGAACGGCTTCAATGTTTGTTGAGGGTCGCTCATGTCAAGTCTCACCAGTCCCTTGACGACCCCGACATTCCCTCGGAGCTGGGTTTCTGGCGTGTTGGCAATGACGATGCGGATCGTCTTACCAGAATCGCTCTGTACCAACATCCCACGGACCCTGATTTTGAGCGGGGGCTCCAGATTGATTTAAAATATGCCAGGGCCTATTGTATTTTGGCGATGAATTTGCTCCCCCGCTTTCAATCTCTGCGTGAATTCGGTGAGGTGGAATGCATTCAGCCGCCTAGGCCCCGGCATGTTCCTCGCCTGGAGCACAAATGGTTCCATCTCGGGACTTTCTGTCGTTGTTCCTGCTGCCGGAAGGTCGCCCGTCGTAAGTGGCCGCGCAAGCCTCGCCCCAGTGCCTGTCCTGGTCCTAGAGAGCAGCCTATTGGCGACATCGCCGAACATGGCCATCGCTGCATCGCTCTGGACTGCAGCGATCAGGCCAGTATCCTCATCTGTGTTTCCTGTAAGTGCTATTCATCCCATGGGTGCTTTTAAGGCCCGTTGGAAAAGTGCACCACCAAGCCCAAAAGTTGGGGAAGAGAGTTTGGTCGGCTGTTTCGCGAGGTTTGCATCCAGAGCGTGCGTCTATCCGTGTCGAATGCCCTTTACATTTTTCGGACCTGGCCCAGAGGCACCGAGCCCGCCCTCGTCGAAGTGCCGCCTCCCTGTCGGACTCGGAGGAGGAAGAGAGGAGGGGGCGCGAGCTCGGTAGATCACCGGTCAAAGCGGCTACCCGTCTCGACGCGGATTCTGGCTCCTCGGACTGACGTCCTGTGAGTGCCCTGGGGGCAGACATTTTCTTTTCAGCCCACTTGTTGGGAGAGGCTTGCCACAGTCCTGGCGCTCCCTGCGCCGGGGGTAGGCGAGCCTTTGCCCCCTCGTGAGGTCTATCAGATTTGTTTTGTGCTTGTGTTTCCTGTGTTGCGTAGTGTAAGGGTCTGGCACGGGGGGTTAACTCACCCCGACCGTTGCCTTTCCCTTTATCAGACTCGACTGCCTGAAGTCTTTGTCCCCTGCGTTGGGGCGGAAGGCGGCGGGTCCTTGATCGCTCTGCCCAGTTGGTCTTTGGCCGTATCTGGAGGGCCCGTCACGGGGGCGCTGGCTCGGTGGGGAGTCAGGCCCACACCAGGGGCAAAGTAAGGGGCCGTCCAGGTGTTCGGTGCATCTGGGGCTTCCTGGCTCTGTCGTCCTGTCGTCGCCTGTGGATTCATTTTCAGAGTATACTGATGAGGTTGTGCGGATTGCGCGATTTCATATTGTAATGTTCTGTTTTGCCCGTGGCAGTTAAGTTCAAGCTGGGAGGGGGGAGACGGCCATCCCCCGCGTCCTAGCACTTGCCCAGTGCATGCAGTGTGTTGTTATTTCTCGCGCGGACGGCGCATGTGTGTGTGTGTGTGTGTGTGTGTGTGTTTGTGTGTTATTTGTTCTTGCCGACGGCGCACGGCCCGATGCGACTGACCATCAGGGCAGGCATCCGTGTGCATACCCGCCACCTGCCATCTGGGGCAAGGCCTGCCACCGTCCTGGCGCTCTCTACACCTGGGGTGGCAGGTCTCGTCGTCCTTGTGTGGGTGGTCGATTTTGGCATCCCAGTTTTCTTGGTGGGATCTCCTGCCACTACGCGCACTGCGCCCCCCCCCCCCCCCACTTTCCCCGTACTGCAAGGTCTGTATGGTGTGGGCGGGGGTTGGAGTCGCGGTCTCCCGCGTCTCCCCGACCTCCTGCTTCCTAACGCGTTGCAGGTTTGGTCAAAACAGAGGGGTGCGCCTCCTTCCCTCTGTTTTTCTCACTCGAAAAGGTGGGAAAAAAGGTACCCTGGCCAATCCCGAAGCTTCCGGACAACTCTCGGCATCCTGACGCCCCCAACGGGCCCCAGAACCGTCAAACATTTAGGACGAAACTCCGGGCCTATGGAAATTGTCCGGACCTCGGGGCCATTCCAGGGGTCGTCGACGTCGTCGTCGTCGTCGTCATGGTGGTGGCTGTCGTCGTCGTCGTGCTCGTCGTCGTCGTCGTCGTCGTCGTCGTCGTCGTCGTCGTCGTCACTCGTCGTCACTCGTCGTCACTCGTCGCCGCCGCCCCTGTCGTCGTCAACGTCGTCGTCGTCGTCGATGATCACACGAGCGAATACGAGAGTAGCAAAACGTGGCGCAGCTGTGACCATAACCTAAGCGCGCGCGAAGCGCGCGTGATTCTAGTGTGTATATATATATATATACACACCGACAGCGCCGCTCGTCCTGGAGCGTCCTCGCCAGCGCGGCTGCACTCTCCTCAGCACTCTTGCCAGGGCCTGGGGAACGGCGTTGTCGGCACCCTTTGGTTCCCCCAGGTGGGCGCGCCGATCCCGCCGCGGGGGCAGTACCAGCCCGCGCAGGCCGCCGGGCGTGGGCGGGACGTGCCGCCGCGGTCGCCGTGGCAGCTGGCTCGGCCTGGCCAGGGCCGCCGGGGCGGCTACGACGCGAACCGCATGTGGGCCCAGTTCCGCGGGCCGCGCTGGTGAGCGCTCTCGCGGCCCGTCCGTGCGGGTGCTTCCGCGTGGCGCTTCCGGGTCGGAAGAAAAGTGGGGGTGGGAGGTCACGAAACTTGCTGCGCGCCGCGCAGCTGGTTTCGGCCCCGGCGCCCGCCGCTTTCCTTGATACGTTGGCGCCTCTGGCGCCGGGGGGCGCCATAACAACCTCTGGCTATCCCCGCCTTTCGTCCGATTCGATCCGCGTCTCCCTGCTGCTGCTTTTTCTCGCTCCTCCTCTGCTGCTGTCGAGGCCCCACTCGGAAGAGTGTTTGCCATTGTGAACTCTGCGCGGTGCAACCAACGTGGCGCATTCTACGTATCGATCTATACCGAACGGTCTATTTGTGTTGCGATCCACATGCCGCAATCTACGTGCTGCAACATGTGGGGGGCATTATCATTTTTCTTATTCTTTTTCTTATTTTTATTTATAGTATGAACCTCTATAATGATTACTATTATCATTATATTTTGTATGTGTAGTATTTTCATTATTTTCAGCATTATCATTATCATACATAGTCTTATTATTATCGTTGTTATTAATATTTTCATTATTATTTTAGTTTTATTCTTGTTCTTATTCATCATCTTCTTTTTATTATTGTTATTATGATTATTATTATCATTATTCTTATTATTACTATTATTATCATTATTATTATCATTATTATTATTATCATTATTATTATTATTTTTATATTATTATTATTATTATCATTATTACTACTACTGCAATTATTAATATCAGTATTGCTATTATTATTCGTATTGTTAGTATCCCTATTATATATGTAATGCAGTGTTTCTCGTCCAGAGCATCTGCTGTGACGTTGTGCGGAATCCTGAAAAGCCAGCCAGCGCAAGGCGCCGGGCGCCCACCGTGCCTTGAATTCTCTGGCCAGCGCGCTGGGGGCGACGAGGCGGCGACGGACGGTCACCGCGCGAAGCGCTAGAGCCAGAGCCAGCGCACGAGGCGGCGACGAGGCGGCGACTGGACGACACTGTGCGAACACTCGGCAACGCAAGCCAGCACATGGGGTTGGATGGGCCCAGGACGAGGATAAATCCTCTTCAGAGTGTTCCGGAACGCTCTCAGAGCGTTCTTCTAGGCCTCCTAGATGGGGTTGGAGTAGATGGGGTCGGAGGATCGCGCCGCATCGCCGATGCATCGCGGATGCGGCTCGATACGAAGCCCGATTTGCTTCACGTCGACGTCGTCGATGCATCGCCGACGTCGACGATTCATCGCCAGTGCATCGCCTGTGCATCGCCGATGCATTGCCGATGCATCGCCGGTGCATCGCCGGTGCATCGCCGATGCATCGCCGACGCGGCGCGATCCTCCGACCCCATCTACTCCGCCCTCATTCAGGAGGCCTCTAGTTCTGGAACGCTCGGAGAAGGCCGCGTCGCCTGAGACATCCTCCAGAGCCGCCAGCTATGAGAGATTCTCGATGTCGTTCTCACCCGACTTTATCTCGGAAACTGGAACATATACATTACCAGTGGCGGGTAGTTTTTTCAATCCCAAGACTTTTTGAGGGTCGGGGACGACGTCGGGGTGGTGTGGTGTATACTTTTCCCCCGTTGTCCACGGGAACCAGCGGAAAATGTGCACACCAGGATCCCGCACACACCAGGATCCGTTTTCCTGTGCGAATTTCCATGCGGGGCCGCAAAGAGCATCGGTGTGTAGAGTTCGGTTCCCTATTATCCTCGTTCTGGCTTCGTCTCTGTGGCGGAGGGCGCCCACCGTGCGCGAGGCTCGGAACAGCCACCCAACTGTTGAGCGAGAGGGGCCAGAACCTCACGCCCGTGCCGTAAGTGTCATAGGCAGCTCCTCGTTCAGCGGCTGTCTTTTCGCGGAGCGCTGACTTTGTCCGCCCAGGCGGGCGCTGCGGGCAGGCAGCGCAGGGGTGCAGCACCGTTCGAGCTTTGCGGTGGCTCTCCACCCCCTCCCGAACCAAACAAATCTTTACAGTCGAGCTTGATTAGTGGGTCGACCCTGCCAAGTCAAGGGTACCCTTGTGTCCTCTGTTTCCTGACCCATGTCCTCTAGATCCCTATGGCAGCGTGGCCAGAGATTTGTGTCTCCATCGAAGTGTACCGACTGCGCTGCGGAGCTGCCGGTCGCAACAACAGCGGCTTCCGCGTGGGAGTTCTTTCGGATGCGACCTACCCGTGGAGCCTGAAATCCCTCAGAGTTTCATGGAAGTACCACTTCCGGCCCCCAGGTGTTCTGCATCTCCGATTCCACAACCATCCTGCCATGGTAGACCTGGAACCCCTGGCCATGCGTGGGCTCTTGATGCCAAGCTCCCCCGCGCCAAAGGTGTAGCTGGGGCACCTCTTCCTCACACCTCCCCTTCTCGGGGGCGGCAAAGAGGAGGGTGATGACTAGGGGTGTGTGTGTGTGTGTGTGTGTGTGTGCGTGTGTGTGTGTGTGTGTGGATACCATGGCAGGGGCCATGATATCTCTCAAGATTTCATGGCGCCTCCTCTTCTCTCAACGCGTCCCCGGCCCCCCACCCCTGGGCCGCGCACGTGCCGCCGGCCATGATTTGCGCCCCCCCGTCTTGGACGCCCCCCTCTTGGACGCCCCCGACCTTCTCGCAAAGTCCTGCTCGTAGCCTCTTATAGTGGCCTGTAGCTCGAGCTATCTCCCCAAAAAACAAAATAGTACAAACAGCAACTCCCGCCACACTGTTTTTGGAAGTAAGATCCACCCGATTGACCTGAGATCAAGATGGCGAGCTGGACAATAAATATCAGATCTCAAAGGGCCCGGCTCTGCCCCCTGGGGGGTGCCTCGGCCTCGGCCTCGGGGGGCCTCCTGGCACGGTCGTGCCTCCTCGGTGTCGCGCGGGCGCGCTACGGCGTCCTCCCCTCGCCCTCCTGCCTCCTCTCCTCCCTCCCCCTCCACCTCCCCGCTCATGCCCTCCTCCCCTCTCCACCGCTCCCTCGCCCTCCCCTCCCCCCTCCCCTCTCCTCCACTCCGCTCGTCAGGAGCCCTCCCTCGCCCGCCTCCGCCCTTCCCCCCCTGCACTTCCCCGTTTCCCCCCCCCCCCCCTCTCTGCTCCTGCCCTCCCTGCTCCCACCATCCCTGCCTCCGCCCCTCCTCTCCCTGCCTCCCTTGATCCCCCCTCCGCTTGGTATCGCTCGGACGTGTGCACTTTTTCTCGGCGGGGATTACTGAGGAGCATCCTGGATCACCCTGCGACAAAGCCACGCACGACACCGACAAAAAGCACAGGGAATGGGCGTCCGAGCGATGGCCACCTCCCCGCTCGTCTCCGTTCCCTCCCGCCTTGCGTGCCTCGCCTGCGTCGGGCGCCCCAGCTGGGGTCTGCCCGCCTCGACCCGGCCGCCCGACCGAGGGGGCCCGACGGAGCCCCTCTCGACTGCCCGACCCGAGGTCGACCCGTCCCGGCCCGGCCCGCCCGTTCGTCAGGGTCTTCCGCTTGGTCGCCCGTGCAGGTCCTCCCGCCCCCGCAGGGAGAAGACGTCTCCCCCCCCCAAACGGGGGCGCGCCGGGAGACGGAAACGGCGGGGTTCGAGGGCTCGGGGGGCACGCACGGCGGAGCGCCACGCGTACAGCCAGGAGCGACCGCTCTCAAAAGGAAGATGGCGGTTGCTGACGCTACTCCGCTGATGATGCTGTCGCCCCACCTCTCTTTTGCATCCTCCCCGCTCTCCTTTTATCACTTCGGCTTCCTCCTACTCTTTCTGCCCGTCCTCCGCGTCCTCTGCCCTTAGCGGTGCTTTGTCACAGGTGAGCACGTTGCGGGCTTCCCCTTAGCCTGGCAAGATGATGCCGCGGGAAGCGTGGACAACAAATGTGCAGCGAGACTCGACCTGCATCATGGTGCTATCTGAGGTCGTCTCGCAGTCTTTCGGGGGGGGGGCTGCATGGTCTCGTCAGGGTCTGCATTTGGGCCGCTTTGGATACGTTCACGGCCGGCAAATGACCAAAGGCAAGCAAAAGGAACAAATACCTCTGGCTCGCCATCTGGCGCACGCGCGCCGCCGTTGCGCGAAGGCCGGCTCGTGGGAGTGGCCAAGACGCTGGCGCGATAGTTCATGAGGACGTGGGCGCGGCGACCCCTAGGGAAGCACATATGCATAGCCGATTCGGCCAGCAGGGGGCTGTTCAATTTACTGCGAAGGCGCTATCTAATTCGTTGCGAAGGGCAGCGCTATCTGAACCACTAAGTCTCCCTCTACAAGAACTGCCGGGCGTGCGCAGTCGCATACGGTCGCATGCCGATGCAGCGCATCTGGAGCGATGCAGACACGCCAGGCGCGCTGACTCCTCCCCGTGCTCAAGGATACACCATGTGGGACTGAGAACTGTCACGAGACAGATAGGTCTGCGCAAGAGCACTTATGTTTAACTACAGCTTGGTTTCCTCTAAATTTTAGTCAGCGTGGGCTCCAAACAGTGTGCTCCTAGCAGTATATGTGTTACAATCTATGTGGAGCAATCTAGGTGGTGCAATCTACCGTGTGCAATACACATTGTGCAACATAGGTTGTGCAACACATGTGTGAAATTGCTATCTAGATGGTGCCGTCAATGAGCTGCAAGCTGGGACCATGCAAAGCAATGCAAAGCCATGCAAAGCAAATTCACGAAGAGCAGTACGAATCAATGCAACGCAACGCAATGCAATGCGATGCGACGCAAATCAACGCAGAGCAAGGCATCGCAACGCAAGGCAATATATGTGGTGCAAGCTAACGGCGGCGACGCGCGGCGACCGCGGCGACGGGGCGGCGACGGCGACAACTTAGCCGCCAGACCGACACACAGGCCCAGACGACTGTCGGCGACTGGGCGGCGTCGGCGGCCACATAGCCGCCAGACCAACGCGGGCCCAGACGACGGGCGGCGACGGGGCGGCGACGGCGGCTGCATCGCCGCGGGACCGGTTGTCAGGCCCAGTTCCTCTGAAAAGAGGTAAGAACCCAAGAGGCGGGAATGAGGGTCAGGAAGCGGCCGCATGCGGGTCTCGTGCCATCTGAGAGTTGTTGTCGGCAGGTTTTTTTGGTGGTCTGCGGCATGGCCAGGCCAGAGTATGGACCAGGGGGCTTGGGCCACGGGAGGCCACGGGGGATCCGCCCCGACGTAAAGCGTTGAGGTTTTAAGCGGAGTATCAGTTTTCGTTGGGTGCCTCAGCTCTGATTTAGCGAGTACAGTAGTCAATCAAGGAAGCACAGGGTGGTTGCCCCACGCCTACGGTGGTGGTTCTGTCGCTCAGCCCCTGGATGGCGGGCGGAGGCCAGGCTGAGGACTTTGAGTCGGGTGCCCTCCGTGTATCGATCTCTATTAGACATCTTGCATGATGTATGATGAGGAGGGTTGAGAAGTGCAGGGAGGTAACAAACAGGTGCGGGTCGTGCGTCGTGCCCGATTTCATGGATCTGCGCTGGACCCCTCCCTGGCGCGCGGAGCGCGCCAGGGGCGGCGCCGGAGGCGCCGCCAGGGGGGTCCAGCGCCGATCCGAGAAATCCGCGCGGAGCTCCGAGTTTGTTCGTCGCCCCGCTCGCAGAGTGTCGGCATGGACTTCCAGGGCCCTTGCATCCTTACCGCGCATGCTTCTGATGCGGGTCGACTGTAGCTGGAAACCCGTCGGGTCCAGCTAATCCCTCCGCTCCGCGCCGAACACGCCGGGGCTCCATCTCCTGTCCCGTCGGCTTCCAATCCTGGCGTGGTCATCGCAGGACCGTAGCTTTAAGTCGGGCATGTCCCCCTACAGGAGGAATGGTCAAAAATAGTAAAAACTGCTCAGGGGACGATTCTTTGCTTTTTTTTATAATTGTTGAATATTTTTGCCTATTCCAAAATCCGCATATTCTCCGTAGCTGATGGCGTCGGGCTCCAGCGTCCACTCCCTTCCCTTGCTGTCCCGGCTGCGTCGATCCTTGTGCTGAAGCTGAATGGGTTCGGCTCCAGCTGCTCCTTCCCTGCTTTGCCGAAGACGATGCGCTCGAGCTCGTTCTCGCATCTGCTCACGCTCCCTCGTGTGTTGACCCCAGGGCTGCAGCTGACGGCGACGGGCTTTCCACCCTCGCTCGCTTCCAGCCCGACCGGGCGCCCGCCCGCCCGTGGGGCCGCGGTGGCCCTCGCTCCCTGGAGCTGAGCTGCGGCTGCGGTGTTGCGAAGCG